TCAGTGGAGTATGGAATGGAGTTTGGACTGCATCCGGTTATCTCAAAACTGTCTCTGATGTGTTAAGAGTTTGACAGCCAAAATGCTCACTGAAGCTCACAGATTTGAGCACTACTCAGATGTGTATTTATTAACCACTCCTACTTTCATATTTTTTCTGGTTCAAAAGTAGTACTTTACAGAAAAAGCAGAACACATGCTTCATCTTTAAAAAACAAACCTGACAATTTGTACTAGGTAAAGAAAAAAAACCAAACAAAACCAAAACCACCACAAACCAACTTGCAGTCAACTTTTTTCCATATCAAGAGATGGTCTCAGCAGTATGCTTTTAGAACAGCCCCCAGCAGGTCACCATTCTGGACTTAAGTCTTACTCCATCCTTTTCATTATTTTTTTTTCTGCATCTCTAGCACCGAGCCTGAAAATCAATTCTAGTTATTAGAAGAGTAACACAGGCACAAGGACCCAGATGTTTTGGAGCAGGATCTGCAACATCAACATTTGTTGCTTATACTATCAGAGAGAACTTGTAGCTCTTCATAACCACACTGGAGTTTGACATAATTCACCTGAAGACTCTTCCTTCCCAATCTTCTTCACCCCAAAATTTATCTTTCCTTAATTATAAGGCATCTATGCTTTAGGAAGAGTCTTAAAAGTGCTCTGCAGTTAGAATTAAAAGCCTTGGAAAGTAGTTCTTGCACACTTTATGCCAGGTATAAACTTAAAACTAAGTCTTCTGGAATACACACTAATAATAAGCAACAGCTTCGGGGAACTCCGTATTTTTAAGCTGTTGAGTACTTACAGATGTAACAACAGATCACAAGAACCATCATTTAGCACTTCAGGGAAAAGAAGAACTACTCTAACTCCAGTTTGGTCACTTACAGATTGCAACTAATGAACATTCATTTATTAAATTACAGAAAATCAGATATGCTGTATCTAAAATAGAACATTTTAGACAGGAAAATACAACGGAAGCGAACAAAGCTCATTTCTGCTCCCAAATTTGTCAGACTGGACTTCATACAAAACTTCTAAGAACTAAGGCCATGCTGGTTTAAGTTTCTCTTTAAAATGTTACTTTAACCAAGGCAAACAAGAACTCAACTAAAACAAAGGACATCTTTAATCTATTAAGACAGCCACTAGTTACAAATTTAGAGTGCATCCTCCAATAAACTTGAGCTTTTATAGCAGCGCAATAATCCATTTTAAGACAGGCAAACTGAAAAGCCATTTGAGGACAGCATCTGGATTTTTTTTTTCAGTTCATCAATTCTAAGAAACAAACAGTGTATCTTAGTAACCCTTACACACTACAGTTCTGAGAACTATGCCCACCAGAGGTCTGCAAGCAAATTTAAGGCATACGTACCAAACCTGTAACCCCAACTTCATCCCAAAGAGTTCCTGTTGATTGTACAGTATCTTTTTCACCATCTCTGCTTAAGTGGACATGGAAGAAAGTCTTCCTAACATATACGGTTAAGAAATTCATGTCTGCACAGTCTCTCAGCAAACATGGACGACAGTATCTGCTAGTACACCTGCAAAATTTTAGTGTAGCATTTATGTCGAATTTGTTAGCTACTAGGCATAAGGACCAGTAATTACTCATCAAGTGTTGCGCAGTATCTGTATGCACACTGATGCCCAAGAGACACATAAGACAGTATGTTATCTACCACTTGAGGGATAACCTGAATTGGATTATTCCATATTTACTGCAAGGTGATAATGCAGACCTGCAGTTTCCCCCTATTACTTCAAGTCAAATAAACCAGCATCCGTTTCCTCTGTTGACAGTTGACAGATCAATTAAAGAAAGTTATCTTCCAGAAGCTTTATTTTAGAAGGCCACAAGGCAGACTGAATAGTCTATATAATGAACGCAGTCAAACTCTACAAATAGCCTACAGAGCCAGAATAAAAAGTAATAGTATACAGCATTATTGCACTGTTTTTGGGTTATGCTAAGCCGAGCAGGTTATCTTTAATGGGTTCAAAGCTACTGAAAATACCAAACGGTTTTGGTAATGGTTCAATGCTACTTATTCTCAGGGAACTCTTGCAATGTAAAGAGGCAAATATATTCCCCCAATTCCCCTGAACTGCAATACCAATCTATCAATTCCTACAACAAAGAATTATCTATGTGTCAGACCCACATACAGCTACTTCAAATTAACAAAGCATTAAATACAACTATTTTGTAACGGAAGACCTGTAGAAAGTTGTTCCAAATTAGATATCAGCATAGGAGAGAAACCTATCACCTGGTTATTTATGCCACTCAGTTGAAAGATATTTGCCTGGATACACAAATGTCATTGGCACTTTGCCTAGAATTCCATACCCAGATATGTATCCTAGTATGAAGTGCTCTGTCACTTCCCTACATGGTCATCTTTTTGCAAACACCATGTCAAAGGCCATCGCAGTACTCTTACACTTGAGGCACAGGCATGCACACAGTCTCTCTCACCTCCAGGTCTTGACACTAATGCTGGTACACAGTGTATTGCTCTTCTCTACTTGCTCAGTAGCTTTTCTGAGTTTGATTACAATTAAACTTTCATCATTGTCTATCTACAAGTTAGAATTTATTGTTTCAGCATCAGAGTTTGTATTATGCCCAAGCACTTATTTCTGTATTAAGTATCCACATGACTTACACTTAGTTACCTTCACTTGAAGCTGCAGTTGATTACATTTGCCAATATAATAAAAATACAAAGAGAGCTTAAGACTAGCTTGGGACTGTTTGACCCACCAGTTTAAGTGAGTATTTTAACCTGCATAAGCTTCTACAGTCAGTTAACAAGCTAGACCACCTATCTTCAAGGACAGTCATGAAAGTTGGATAATTTTTGTTTCTCTAAGTTTGTCCTTCTTAAAAAAAAAAAAAAAAAAATCAGTTCTACATGTGTTACACTATCAGACACTGTTCTACAAGCAGATTTTATAATAATGCAATAGTAATCCTATGAAAAATAGGGTACTATGTTAAAGACAGCCTAGTGTTATAGGTACACTAGCCAGCAGTTTATTTCCAATTCATTTCTCTCCTTCAGACATAGGCCTTTTAAAGAGATGGCACAACTAATTGATTTTATTGATATTGACAATATACAGCAAGGTAATTAAAAGCCCACACATCCCCCACGTGTTTCACATAAAAATTTAGCTTTGTCTTTTTCTGTAAGGTGAAAATGCAACCTCCACTTCTTCTGAAATAGCAAAGAATTAGGCAGAAAGTTTTCTGTGCTCTAGACAGCTGGCAGAGGAGCAAAATCCAGCATTTTTCCTTAATGAGATATCCCAAACCAGTACAAAATACATAGTCATCAACATGCAGTTCTACCCATACTGCTTTGAAGCACCACAAAACACAATCCCAATGTACTCCCATGATGTAAACTGCTTCCAAAACTACAATTCTACCGCTGACATTTAAAAACAGGATGAAGATTTGTACTAGGCATCTACTGCAGAATCTGTAATTTATACAGTTCTGTTTGCCTCAAAAGGGTGCAAAATACATCAGCTGCTAAAACAAAATCTCATTGCAGAACTCAGGGATTTGACTGTACAGTGCAGTAATAGTGAGTCAAAACAGCAGAGTTAAGTGACAAGGTATCATAATTCACCCTTTATTTCAGCTATCAGCACTTTGTATTCATACTTGTTCTTCACTAACAGATGCTAAGAGGAAACCAGCTTCAGCCTTCATGAGATTCACACTCTGAATTACCCTACCCAGAGCTGCTGTAGCTGAATCATCCTATGCACAAAACGAAGGCTTGAGACAGGGCTCAGCAAATGTTAAAGTTTCTCAAGGAGTGAAAGCTGGGCAGCCAGCCAGCACCAACTTCATTTTGAGTGCATACTCTCTCTGCCTGCTAATTAAAATAGGAGGATAGTCAAGTTTAAGGGTATATATTTACCTTCTCTTGAGACAGCTATGATCTCTAAAAGCAAAGTGACCCTAGTGGAAAGAAAGTTTGATGTACACCCTAAATTGTTCCCAAAGGAACAATCACTTGGTTAACAGTTGATAATGACCTACAAAATATGAGTATGCAATCACTCCTGACACTTAACAAGAACCACCTAGTTTTATCTGGGAAGGAATAGGAAACATTAGAGTCACTGACAAGTCCAGTTTAGAGAAAAAGTTATTGGCATGGCAAAATGAAGGAGATTTAGCTATATGATACTTCTATTTTTGCACTCCTTCCAAATAAAGATACGCCTTTTAGGGCAAATCTAAGTTATTAGAAAGCTTGATGCAAGTGTCCAATCTTTTAAGACTGGTACTTCAAATGCTTACACCAGAGATATAGGAAGATCTACTTTGTATAGTTCTCCATTTGTGGTCCCCTATACAGCAATAGGCAAAAGAAGCAATAAAGAATTATGAAAGATGAGAAAACAATGATGTCACATGGCAGTCATACTAACTGAGAGGACAGAGAAAGACATTCGTGAAGAGAAGTTGAAAGGCAGTGCTACTACAAGAATTGGGAAAAACCTTCAGATGAAGTTATCTTTCCTTAGATAAAGAACAGAGCATGACTAAAAAAAAGAAAAATCTCTGCATTCCAGAACCTAAGGAAACTGAACATGTATAAAAGCAAGGAAGAGTATTTTGTGATACAAAACAGACAAGTTAAGACACTCTGAAACCAGACTTCAGAAAAAAATTTTAGAGTCATGTCAAGTGCTAAAACCTGTACTCCAATTAAGATGCTTTGCTTTTAGACCTACCAATTAAACTAAGCAGCAATTTGAAAAACAATCCCCTCAGTGCAAATGCACATTTAAGGTAATTACAGATGAACAGAAGCAAGATTGTTCATAAGTGAAGCATATACTTCGGCATCTTTGAGAACTCCCCCCAGGGCCTCAAATCATTAAGACAAGGCCCCACAACAATTTTACAATAATATGCTAATACATGTATGTACTACATAAATTAGTCTTACCTGCCACTTCTACAATGTCACCTGGGACAATGTCTCTTGCTTTAATCCTCTGTACACTTTTTCGGTCTTGTCGATATACTTTGCCCATTTCTGGTTCATACTCTTTAAGAGCTTCAATAGCATTTTCAGCATTTCTTTCCTAAAAGACAGCAAAAATGTGTAATTTTAAAAGCCTTCAAGGAAAAATACATATGTCAGATCTGATTTTTCAAATGCATTATCATAGGAATACTACTGATGCATGTCAGCTACGTTTATTAACACAAAAATTATGTGACCCTCCCCTTATGAGGTTGCTGACTGGAAATCATTACAAAATAATTCAGATATTAGTTGGCATTTAGAACCTAGAAGTTCTTTATTCAAACCCTGCAGCACTTCCTATCAAGAATATCCACTGTGTTTTGTTACAGGGAGGCCACACAAAGAGTTCTATGTAACATATGGATGCTTTTTGACATAAAAAACCGCACTACGCAGAATAAAGACTCATGGATATAGTCTTGTCTTGGCTGTACCTCACTAGCTGGAACAGCGTAGACTCAGACTGGAGTGGACTAGCACTACTGAATTTCACTTACTGATAGAAATCAAGGGTCAAGTTAATACACTGTTTGAGTTTTGTCTTATCAACTTTGTTTCAGCAAATCAAGTCACACTAAAGTGAAATTAGAGCATACAGACTAGAAACTTCCCTAGAGTCTCTTAACAGTTTACAAACTTAAATGAATTCCCGCACATGACAACCTTTTTATTTCCACTAACACCAGCACAATAGCTTTCCTATCTCCCTCAGTTAAACACTACCGGAGACTGATTATCAACATCATGATGCCACCTAGATAAAAGACAACATAGGAAACCAACAGCTTATCAGTACTCCTTCCCCAGCTCTTGGAGAAGTAACTTGTTTTCCATTTTCCAGCCTATTGACAACTACAAACGTTACACAGTCCTGACGATTATAGATAATGGTAAGGGTACACATAGTTTTTAGAATGTCTACCCTTCAAATATATACCAGCCTTTCCAGATAATAAAAACTTTCTCCTGTATGTATCAAAGCAGAAACCCAATCTCCAAAAATTCAAAGGTTGAGGTACTAGGTACTTCCACACAACAATGTAGCTGAAAACCAGCGTTACCAAAACTAGCTTGAAGGACCAACATTTGTATGGCACAGCTCAGTGCCAGGCAGCACACAGATACCAGTACATACCCATAAAGTTATAATTAGTACTAGCCTCATATTCCACCAGGTAAAAGAATTCTGCTCCTCAGCACAGCAATGCTGATCTTGCTTTTCTGTGGATTAACTAAGAGTTAACATTAGGCAAAGCCTTAAAGGTCCAAAAGAAAGTCCCACAAATGGAAGGTTAGTTGAACAGACTTTTCCTTCAAAAAAGGAGAAATAAGAAAGAATGAAACATGATTCAGCTAGGATAGCCAGCTCAGTGTGTTAGACTATCTTTTTGTTCCCGGTTTGCTTGAAGTTACGGTACTTAGACTATCTTGCCAACCACTGAAGCACTAGCAGATGGCACTTTGGGTAAAGTGCATGTGACAGGAAAGGTTGAGGAAGGCAGAGCTAAGGCAATGACTCAGTTGCTCATATCTAGTACCTGTAGAAACAGATACATTTATGGGTGGAGACTATGTACTGTGACTTATTTTCCATGCCCATTAAAACAAGGGAATGAGTCATTTAACCTGTACAGCGATTCTTTCACAATTAAGTTCACTGCATATATAGAGAGATAAATATACAGGTATTCTTTGCATGCTAGCATGTGTAAAAAAATTGGTTATTTCCTACAACAGGGTACATAACTACACAAGAAAATCCCCAAACTATACAGATAGCTTTACCTTACATTTCATGCTTAAAATTACTACATGCAGAACCATAACTCAGTTTCAAGTTAAAGATTAATTCTTGTACAACTGCGTTACGAAGATTTGAATAAAAAATGACGCTTAAGGGGGCAATGCTGTCATCCCTTGATGGACGTTACCTCTTCCCTCCATACCAGCTCTAGCAGTTGCACAGCAAGGTGGGTAATGCTAAAAACCGAATTTTTCAATAGTTAATCGTCAGCCAGCTTACTTGGGCTAGCACAAAACAGAGCACAGGAACGTGCAGCAATGCCACGCAATGCCACTTCTGGTGGCTTCCAGTGTGTCTACTACTCTCTAACATGTTTTAACCTGTTAAGAGGGCTCCTCCTCTTTATTTTTTTTTGTTATTTTGGATAGGTTTGTTTGGTTTTTTTAAGCATGAAACCTAACATGCTAAGATAGCAAGTAATTATGTCACACATTAACACCATCCCTTTAAACAACAAAACCAAAACTAACCTTACAAAGAACTTAAATTACCCTAAAAATCCTAGAATACTTTTTATCTGCAGAAAAACAGTTCTAACAAACTGTGCCCTGTCTGAAGTCATCAAATTAGTAAACTGAAGTTATATGAACAATTTTGTTTTGGCATCTCAAGAAGTGTTAGAATATGTTACCAATATTACTGCTGATATGATTTATAAAAAGTCATCTAATTAATCTCACAGCTGATAACATAGGAAAAATTTCATTGTATTTAGATGTTTTCAGAAGAAACGTCTGCCTTTTGACAGACGTGCAGTCTTTAGACGTACACTTAATAGGTACTATAGTAACTGAACAGCAAGAATTAATACTGTATTAAATGTATTAATAAATGTACTAAAACATAGCATTTGTCTCAAGAGGAAACAGACAAGAAACTAGATTACAAGTGTTCTTTCCTTTGTTGGGAAAAAGTCCCTTTTATTGCAAGCCGATCCAATTGATTGATTGTTAGTTTTGCAAGATTTGATTTATTTCCTGTATTCAGGCCTTCATTCTGGACTGCCTAGTTCATGTGTTTACCCGTGTGTAGCCAAACACACTGATGGGCACTTTGCCTTTTTGACAATACTTCTGAAGCTTTCATTTTACCTTTAAGTCAACACTTTCTGTCCAGAAGTTTCATGGTATGTTGACTCTCAATAATCTAAAGCTAGCAACACATACTACCTGCATTGTATGAAGCACCTGACACTGCACTGTACAGTCCTTCCTGTTAAACCAAAAAAACCCAGAACGTCTGTGATTTGATGTTGTGAAAGTATCTGCATACCTGCCACACTCCCACAATTGCATTGGCTACTAATATAAGTAAGATTACAAAAGGCTCTACAAATGCTGTGATTGTTTCTTCACCTTCTTCAAACCAGGCCAGGACCTGCAAGAGAAACAATGATTTAAATTACTAACTGATTTACACAGACACCTGGCAAACTTAAGACCTGGTAAGTTTCAGCTTGAGGTTCAATGCTTAAGACTTCAGCAATTTTGGAAACCCATCTATCTTCCAAGGTATAGTTTTGTAGTTCATGAATGAGTTGGCAATGTGCAATGGAAAAGGAGAAAAAGAATCTGTAATAAAGTAGTAGTACAAAGTTCATTTCCAAGGCTGCTCCTCTTTTAAAGGAGCATGCTATTTATTTGGGAAACATATTGCTACTTTTGCTTCACAAATAAAGCAGAACTTGTGACAACAGCTATGGCAGTGAAAAGTTTAAAAAGAAAATAATTTTCATTTCTGTATAAAACAGGATGCAGACAGATTAATTTGAGTATTTAGAACACCAATAATTTGCCAGAATCTGAATTTTAACCAAGTTAATTGTTCTTCACCAATAACTTGCACAAATGAAAACAGCTCTACAAGTTTTCAGTGAGTACACATGAAAAATAAGCATCTACTTATTTAAATCCAAGTAGTGTCTTATTGAAGCATCTAAATGAATTGTACAGTTACATCTGAAGTTGAATTCTGAGCTGAGTAGCTGATAAAACTCAAAACTAGATTTTGAAAAGTAAGTCAACTTGAAGACCTGCATAAAAGGCTTCACATGAATTTTATTTTAATTAATTTGCTTTAGAATTACACTCTAGTTTTAGGCTTCTGCCATTCACTTGACTTGGATGGGTATGTGTCAGGGCCTCTGCACAGTTCTGTAGTTACTGAAGAAGAAAGTCAAGCTAACATGACCAGAGAGGAAGAACTTTTTCATCAACATGTTGAGCAACAGGAAGCCTGGAAAGTGACAGTAAATAGGAACAACGTGTTGAGATAATTAGGGCTGGTAGTCAGGCAACAGCACTCTGAATCACTAGAAGACTGCAGCAAGCAAACCGTTACTAAAGCAAGCGCTGTAATTCCACCAACATGCTGCTCAGAGCTATTGCTCAATTGTGAAACACTCCAGGATGTTAAAAGGAAGGAGCAGCAGCATGAAAGCCTCAAGCAGAAAACAGACTGTCAAGCAAATCCAATGCAACAACAAATTTTTATTACAAAAGGATAAACTCATAAGATCCAGGTTATGATTAATAAGACTGAAACATTCCAACTGGCAACACAACATTTTGAGGGTCTGTGTAATCCGCCTGGAGAAGAGATTTAGTAGGGGTCTCTTACACTCTCTACATCTCAGTATTTCTTCCCTCCTCCCACATCACTCATCTCCAATCCCCAGTAGCAACTTCTGCCCTTTGACCCACTACAGCAGTCATACAGTCTAAATTGTAGTCTTCACTCCACACATTACCCCTTGTATCACGGGCAGCTCTTACTCTGCACCAGCACTGTTGCCCCCAGTGGAGCTACAGAAAAGGCAAATGGTACATTTCCAGTTTTCTTAGCATATACAAGGTCACAGACTGCCATCAGAAAAGCTGCTTACTATCTGTTTCTTCCCTCCCTTTATTGGAATTCTGTAAAGCCCATTTTGCTTCCAACAAAGCAAGTAAATTCAATCATTTTGTGATGTTCTTAACAGAGCAGGTACCTACAAGGTTAACTGGAATAAAACATCTGTTTTACACAATGCTAAACCATAATCTTTTAAGATTAAAGACCATGTGTGTTGTAAAATAACATTGAGAAAGCCCGCAACTTTTAAGAGGTAAGGAAAGAGGCAAGGACAGCAAGATTCAAGTATGCCAAGGAGAACCAAAATTAAGTTTTCAAGGCATCTTTTGTTTCAATAAGCCATTATTTCAAGAGGAGCAGGTGAACTCAGATTAGAGATCCTGACAGTACAGATCTGTTGTTTTAGATCTTCACTGTTCGGTTTTTGGCAAAATTATCAATCTGTGACCAGATTAAAATGAAGTATCTAGTTAATCCAGGAACCCCGCAACACACATTTCTCCCCCAAAAAGTTTCCACACAATTACTAACAGTGGAATGATCTAAGCTCTAGTTCTAGAACGTTTTAGTAAATATAGACATGTAAATAACAGAAAACATTGAGTTCTTGGTTTTGTTATAGCAGACTACAGCTATATTAACACCCCATTTAGGACACTTGTGATACACAACACACATTGCTATAACAGATCAGGTTGATAGTAGCCTGAAGTAAAAACAAACCCACAGTAAAAACCAAAGAGAAAGTAGAACAAGGAATACAAGTATTTCACTAGGCGTTTTTAGTAATAACAGATCATATGCTGAAGCCTGGTAGAGACTAGGTAATTCTTGTCGAAGGCATCTAGTCCTTGTCAGGAAGTTTCCATTAGCACACTTTAAGACCTTGGAGAGGTTTACAATGAGAGATCTTTTATCTGTCTACTACTCAGAAGGGCCCCACCATATTTCAGCCCTAATCACTTTAAGACTCACATGTAGAACAGCTTAATTTCCAGGTCATTGGTCTCCAATGTACTGTTCAGGCAGTATGGTCAATAAGTAAAGTTACCATGTATTTAAGAAGCTTAAAAGAGTAGGACCAAAAAAAAAAAAAGAGCAAGATAATGCCCAAGAGAAATCCAAGTCTGAAAATATAAGGGCAATTAACAGCAAGACATAGAAGTCCCATACCAACAGCCAACGTAAGCAGCTTAAAGGACAACTTTCATTCAGTATATTTGCTTCAGGGCTGCTAGAGCTATGGCTTGCAGAAGCTTATTTTAATCAAAGCCTAATGGGGTGGACCTGCAGGACACTAAGCCAAAAAATACACAATGACAGGCAAATAGCACTTAGTTTTAATGGTTATTTGTAAAAAGGGGGCAGAGGTACAATGCCTAAGTCAGCCAGCAATAAGGTGACTACTGATGAAAACAGCTAGAACAGAGGTGTCCTTACAGCTTTTTGCACTTCTACAAGTTAAGTATCTCTGTATTGTCAGGCAAGTCATGGAAGCAAGTTGTCTCAGATACTATTTATCATTAAGTAACAAAAAGAGAATTAAAAGAATAGAAGTTTCAAGATAGAATTCTGTTGCCCAGCAGGCTTACTTACTACTAACAGAGGAAAAGCAAACAGTTTGTTGTCAGCAACCTAACAAGGTTTTTGTTTATTTTTCATTTTGACAATGGAAACTTAAAAGCAAACTGGGAGAGTAAGATCTCATCCTAACAAAAAGTAGCCCTGGACTAATTAAAGCAGGTCATATAAACTATGGACTGCTTTTAAGGGAGCTTTCTTCTCACAGGATACTATGAATTAAGATTTAGTATATTTTGGACAGAGTACTGAGTACTGCTCAGAAAACCCTCTTTTAGCAATTTCTCTTTTCAATACAAATTACCTTAAAATTAAGCAGATGCAAACTATTATATTAGTCCTGATACTTGTTCCTTGTCAGTTATACTGAACACCAGGAAATACTAAAGAAAAAACTCCCAATTTTATTTCCATTATTCAGTAGATTTTTTATTTGCTACCCAAGGAAAGAGGAGGAAAAAACCAAAAAAAAACCCCCAACGGATCTTGACCACACATATAAGTACAAAATTAAGAATTTTACTGGGTTAGCAGATTTTAAACACCCATCAGATATGCTACTCCGTATTTCTGAAAATAAACACATTCCTGTGTTTAGTGTAGCAGTAAGAAAAAAAATACATAGCACCCACAGGTTAATTTCTACAAAGTAAAATGGAATCACAATTACTTCTCACAGTTTTATCACCCCTACCCATCAGCTGGTATCTCGGGTGCTACTGAGCAATCTGAGTTTAGGTAAAGCGTGTCAGTGTGATGTTCTGCAGCAATCCTTATCTTGTGCCACATACTCACCGCTACTGACCTCAACAGGTAACTTTTGGGGTGATTTCAGGACAAAGCCTACAACATTTTTACTGGCACATCTTACTTCCTCCAAGAGTAGCTTTGCTCACCTTTTAACACAGATTAGGTTAATACTCACGCTAATTTACAGGCTATAATAATCTCTGGACTAAATCACAATATATTGTTTTAATCTAAACATGGATATCCGGTATTAGAAAACATTCCCAGAACATTCACTTCTAAGTCATCTTAGGAATCAAAGAAATAAAGGGCTGGGGGGAAGAATGCTCTTAGGATGCTGTATTAATACTTAAGCTTTTAATAGAGTTTATAGTCTGCTACATCTTGTAGAAGAAAATTCACTATAGGTGTGATGCAAAGGGAAGAGTGCAGGGTTAAGCATACATCACTGTTTAAAGCATATATACTTTACCAAAGAATTATTCTACGTCAGATGAACAGTTAACATCTTGCAACTTGTCAAAGTCATTCATACAGCAAAGAAAGCTGTTCTTTATGTAAATACTGCAGATCTCAGTACATGATACACAAGTAGCAAGAATTAGAAGCCACAGCTCATGGAAAATTAAACATCCTCTTACTTGCAACCTAGAAAGTCAGGCTATGAAGGCCCTTGAACTGCTGAGATGCACTCTACAGGTTTATTTCTGCATAGGCTTCACAGATTCAACAGAACACTGAGACAAGGTCCAAGCCTATATGTAGATCCATTTACTCACCATCAAAAATTATTCATATTGTTTCTCTTCAAAAGCCATACTTAAGGCTTCTTCTAACTAGGCACATCTGTAACAGCAGTTCTGACTTGGAATGTAGGACCTAGTATCTACAGCCAACAAACATGCAGCATGTGACCCCTACAATCAGCTAGGGTGACACAGATTCAGCTGTTAGTCTGATTTATTTTACTGACACATACCTGACAGGGGGTGTGGGAGCAGAGGACACTAAAGGCACTTTGAACACAGAAGTTTATATTGTATGTAAGATAGGATGTTTCTGCACAAAAATCTAATGCAGATCTCAATGTTAAAGATGGCTGTTTCTGTGCAGTCCTAATAGTAAGAATCTAATATGATTTATGATCACAACACAATCACCAGAAAAGCTTCCACAACACAGAACAACAATCTATATACCTCAAGATCCTCTCCCTCATACCTGAATCCTCAACTTTTTTTTTTAAATTGACGACGTACAGGTGGTAAAGAACACCAGAACTTAGGTGAAGTTAATTACATCCAATTTTTGCAGCAATACAGTCTTTATATCAACATACTCAACAGTTCTTTACAGCTACTACAAAAGTCTCCAATATGCTTTCATCAAAAAAAATGTTAAAATCTAAGAAAAAACAGACAACAGATGACAACCTTCTGAGCAAGGAAAAAGCCAGAAACAAACACAAAGGGAAGTGCTATTAAGGTACCAAAATTATAATATATTGAGTTTTTTCTTTTAATTTCATCAAGAGGAGAAAATCTTTACTACTAACATCAATTTATAGTGGGTAGCCATAACTCTTAAATAGGAGACAGAAAAGGCAGAGCAGTAGCCCAAGGTCATATATCATGCCAGTTGCACAGAAGCAGAGAACCCAGATCTATCCCACACTCCATTAGACTACAGTCTCCTCTTAATTAGACAGGAAAATTAAGCATACTGAAAAAAGAAACAGAATGCAGTTACTAATAAAGTTTTTGAAGGGGCTTGGCAGTGTACGTTCTTCGACCTCTGTCAGTCTGGTATTATACTTACTCAGATTCAGCAATGAAAGCTTAAAGTTCGGTGAATTTGATTTTTCACTTACTTGGTTATAATAAAAACAAATAACATACCTTGGCATGAAAGGCTAACAAACTTCTGTACTGTCATTTATCTCACGAGATGAGAGAAACACTCCTGTCTTTTCAGGAACAAAAATACGTCCCCTTTTCACCCTCTGGGAGGGGAAAATGGGAAAGAGGAGGAAAAAAAGGATTTTGAATGACCTGTTTATTCAATTTTCTATAGCCAGCCTGATTTCCTCCCCAGGAAACAGAAGAGTGAGTAAGGTACATTTGTCTCCACGGTCAAGATCAATGCCACCAATCATTGCTCACCTGGTAATGCTATATGCATACCAAAACCCAAAGCACTTTCAAAGGTGTCAGTGTGGCTATAGCTGAAGCCTCTCTTGGTGGAGGATCAGCAACACAGTATATACTGCAGCAGCCAAAACAGGGCAACCCTTCCCCCATCATACAGAACAGCTTCAGAGTACATTCTCCTCTGGCCATCCTAATTAGCTCGCCCTTAGCTAAAGAGTCACCACAATTTCCACTCCCCCCAAGAGCTGCAGTATTTATTTTTTTTAAAGTAGTTAATTGCAACTCCAGGGCAAAGTCTACTATAAACTTTTACTCCTGCCTAAACAGTTTAATATTCTGCACACTTTTGTTTGTGTTGTCCAGCTCCCCAAGACATACAGCCTTCATCTTCCACCTATACTTAGCCTTTGCTCAGTTTTCCAGTTTTTCAGCAAACACATACCCTTTACACATTATGTAAAAAGATTGCCTAAACATGCTTTTGAAAAAAAATAAGTTAAAAGTGTTCTTGTTCTTTTAATCCTGTATGCAAAGCAAGATGTCCATTTAATGACTAGACTATCCAAAGGTCAGTTACCAAATTTGGTCAACAATGGTGCCATCACAGCCGTCATCATTCTTGTCACTGTCAAAAGCAACAACTGTCACCTTGCTATTATCAGGAAGGGAAGGCAACTGGAATATTCGCCATGTAAATTCTATTTACAGTCTGCATTGCATCCAAAAATGTCTTCCAATGATTATACATTGAGCTTGATAACGATTAACTCAAAGGCAAGAAGAATGTCCAGTTAAACACTTACTCAAGGTTAGTTTTCAATGCCAACAAAAGCATTGGGAAATCCCACCTCAAAAAAGCAAACTGGGTTGAATGAGAAGCACTTTTTAAATACCTGTCTAGTGTAGTTACGTACTCATGACTCATGCAATGAAAGATTCCCTGAGATTTTGTTTCCTAGCATACAGAAACCTCTTCACAAGGCAACTAATTTGAGAGATAGCAATTTACTCTGCATTTTATACTTCTACCTTTTGAGAAATAATAACTTCAGTATGTACAGTTCCTATACATTGTAACATCTGTCATTCTGTGATACAGAAGCCTATGAAATAAAAAAAATTAATACTTACAAAAGATATGCAAGCTGCCAGCAACAAAATTCTAACTAGTAAGTCTTCAAATTGCTCAATCACAAGCTCGAGTAATGTTTTTCCTGCAATATGTAACAAAGCCATTTAGTTATGCATATTAAAAAAAAGATGAATTATCAACAAGAATTAGCAGATTTCATGAACATGCTTACCTTCCTCAGCCGGTAACTCTGTCAGTGAAAGATGTTTCCAGGAAGCATGTCAAAGAAAAGAAATCATTGAAGAAACACATTAGAGCACTGTAAGGCATCCACCAGATATTGTTTCTAAATTGCACGCTCAACCGGGTTGGATTTGACCATACTGAAAGCCCCGTTAAGGTGGCTCTTTTCATTAGAGCATCTCAATAGGCTGGTAGTTTTGCATTTTAAGACACATACAGGTTAGCCGGAATGTGTTAAGGGTTATCATTCAGCCAAGTCATCACTCCAGCCAGCTGTGGGACTTCTGCTGTTGCTGCACACAAAGGGTCAAAGGCTCAAAACGCTTTTCAAACGATTTCTGATAAAGGTTTTCCTCCACATTCACTTCAAAAAACCAAACCACCAAACTTGGTTCAAAATATTTCAAATTCTTTCCTCCATTTTAAGGATATTTTCTTATTTCTGCTCTCCCTTTTATCTCCCCGCAACTAGATTTAGTAATTCAAGAGGCACAAAAGCAGTGTTAAAGCTAAAAAAAACCAACCCACCGTATAATCTTCTCATAGCTTTTCATTTTTACACAACGGCATGGGAGTTCAAAAGGGACTAGGAAGGCCAAGCAATAAGGATTAAAAAAAAAAAAGAAACACCTTACAGGCTGAATTCTGTGCCCCGACTCGAGAGAAGAATGTAAAATAAGGGACAGAAAGGCACTGAAAAGCAGGGAAAAATGAAGGTCAAGACGGACAAAAAAACCACCCCACAGCGCTTCATTTCAGAATGGAAGAAGATTTCCCACCGTTAAGGTGAAAGGAAACGGAGGTGACATCCTCCTTCCCAAAGCAGCCCTGTGAGCTTGGGGTATGAAAGAAACCCACGAGGTGGAGTTCAAGTCAGCCATCTTCTCTCCCTCGCTCCTATTCCGGGTCCTGTAAGAGATGCCGGCTTTGCAAATACACACACGTTAGGCCTTGAAACAGGGCCCCGAGAAGGATGAGCGAAAAAGAGAAAAGGGTGGAAGAGGGAGCAGAGAAGGGGGGAAGACGACGAGTGCCAGCAACAGCATCCCCGCGGCGGAGGGAGGCGGGCGGCGTGGGGCCGGTTCACCTACCGTTGGAACCCCATTTCTCCTTCAGCTTCTTGACTTGCTCCAGGCTGAGCCCGGTGCTTTCGTTGACGCCGAAATAAGCCAAAACTTCCTCCACAGTCTTTGTGTGCGCGTTCTCCATGGTTGGGGCAGGGAGCAGCAAATGGTGCCTCGCCTCTTCCTCCTCCTCCTCAGCGGCGGCGGGCGCGGCGGCGAGCCCCCTCCTCAGCCCCTCGCTCCTTCCCCCACCGCCCCCGTCCTATCACCATAGACCCCCTCCCGCAACAGAGAGGAGCCCCCGAGCCCACCTCAGCGCCTCACTCTTCCCGAAGGAGGCAGGAGAGGAGGACAAAAAAAAAGAAATTAAAAATTTTTTAGAAAAA